GCATAAACAAATACATGTCTGAAGAGTTCGGGTCTATCAATGTCTTTGAAGTAGTTGTTGGCACTCGAGAGGCGTTTATCGACTGTTTCCTATCATCTGATGGTTGTTTGGGTCGACTGTCCACCACATGAGCGTCAATCACAGACTCGACTATAGGTATTGATTCACTATTTAATACATAAATCATTAGAAATGTCTTAAAATGAAGTGACAGTTAATTCATGTCTTAAATCACAAACCAATCCGAAGAGTCAGTCATTGCTTTGTTGACCGCAGAGGCAGTGGTCGACCGATTTGATCGCAATCGAGATTCACGTAATGTAATCGGTGTGTCCATTAAGGCACCCGTAGTTTTGGGCACCGGGAGGATGGCTATAATCTCAATATCGGAATCTGAGTCACTGTTTGAAACACACAATGAAATGAATGAACATCTTAAAGGACTTGTAATGTCTGAACACATACTCAGCGAAAGTGTTGACAACTGGTTTGTTGGCACAAGTGGTGGAGGAACTGGTGGTCACATTGAGTCCAAAAGTCTTCGTCACTCTATCGAGTGTTGCCTTAAAACTGATAAGTCTTTCCCTCGTATCCGATGAACAGTCACTGAGTCCTGACTCGCTGTCACTGTTTTCATCACTATTTTGTAGCAAAAAAAATAAATCATTAAAACTCTAGGACTTCAAACACATTACAAACTTATGGCACAAATGAATGACAAAAAAACATTAATACTTAAGGGAAGTGTCCAAAAGATATGGCTTTACATCAGGACCCGTAGGGACGGGAACTGGAGCTCCAATAATGTCTGGTTTCATATCATCACAAACTTTGGTGTCTATGGGAGTGGTGCTGAGCGCCGGTACGTCTTTGGGCTCGCGTTTAATGACAATTAAAGTGTAAAAGTTAATAAAAGTGTTAATAAAATATAATAATTTTAAATTGGAAACAATGATAGAAATGTCTGAAATGAGTTCCGACAATAGGAATGGTATGTCGAGAGAGGCCATACATTCGGTGTCTATTTCGTGGACTAATATCCAAGTGTTGACTAAAACAAAGAAATCTATTTATAATTGTTTTCAAACCAATGAAACCCCGAAAGAGATCATTCGTAACGGTATTTGACATTTAAAATACATATAACGTTCAAATAGTACTTATTTTTAATTAATTAAAAAAACTAATTTATAGTATCAGGTGAAATTAAAGCTGGAAGTTTGTTAGCTATAATGGGCGCCAGGTTTGTATAAAAATCATTATTTCATTGATTTATTTTGAAATTAATTTTGAAAGTAACTTATAAATAGTATGAATAAAAATTGTATTAAAAATAAATTTGATTTATTTTATATATTACTAACTATTTATAAAAATACATCAAATGATTGCGTATTTCAGTGGCGCCGGAAAGACGACTCTATTGAATGTATTGACGGCAAGGAATTTATCCCAACTGTCCGTCAATGGAGTGGTACTCATGAATGGACAGACAGTCAGTCAACAGACCATTGCATCCATTTCCTCGTATATACAACAACACGATTTGTTTCAACCGATGTTTACAGTCAG